GAGAAAACATGATTATCCCACACATAGCTTTTATTGGCAATTTTAGGATACTTCCAAAAATAGTAAGCTTTTGCTTCAGAATTAAAGCAGGAAAATTATTTCCTCTATACGCTTTCTGGATGTAATTTTTAATCTATAGATGAAGTCATCTAGAAGTTCAAGTACTTTGTCCATTTATAAATGCCTGTATCAGATTTAACAGACCTAGCACTCTATAAATTCAGAAATCATTCCATGTCAATTCCTTTGTGCACAAAAAAGCCTTTTTCTTTGTGCATCAATGCATGAACATTTCCAGAAAGAAACAGAACTGGAAGTGAACTGAAAAGTTTTGATTCAGAGACAAAACTCCCAAGCTACAGCTTGATAAATCACATAGTTTTTACATCTGGACGATATTCCTTTCAGATTTTGGAATCAGAATTGAAACTCTCTCTTGTGAATTTCAGATATGCAGAACCAGAAAGTGTCTGATCTATGTAAACGGTCCAATTGGCATAAAAATTAATGCTTTACACATGTCAGAAAAATATGACTGAAGAAATTTTGTAAATTAGCACTTTAAAGGGCACTTGAAGTTGAAAACCGACATTGTAAATTCTCTGAATCTCTGAAAATCTATCTCAGAGGTTGAAGGCACTTGACACTAGAATGACTGGTGAAAAATATATTACTTAATTTTTGTGATTCATTCATGTCTGCAAAAATAAAAGAGCTTATTTGGTGTATTTCCTATGTACAGTTTCCTCACCTCATAGCAACTGTTTTAGCATTTTCCATTTACCACCCATTTTACTGGGTGGTAGTTATGAGGTGTCTACAGATACTAGATTAAGTAATATAAACCTAAAACCAGTCACAAGTATCTCCAGATCACTCTAAGGGTTACATTCCTCAAGTGACTGAAGCATGTCACATTAATACAATTACACTAAATTACATGCATACAATTTCTTTCATCTCATAGATTCCCAAAGCAAATTACAAGCTGAATGACTATTCCACTTTCACTATTCACATGTCATTTAACAATAGGTTAAACACATCATATAAGGTGTATATTTCTATTCCTTGACGTGTGACTATGGATATCCCTATCATAAGCTTTCAGGGAAAACAAGTTCAGGCATATACAAGGCCAGCAAATCACACTTATTTAAATTAAAGCAAGCATTCACAACTCTTTAGTGTATTTTTGTTATTCTATTGCACACACAATTCACATCAGAACTCAAAGAATGAAAGTTTGCCAACGACACCCAGCTGCGTGGTGCGGTCGACACACTGGAGAGAAGAGATGTCATCCAGAGGGACAGTGACAAGCTGGACAGTTGAGCCACTGCAAACCTCATGAAGTTCAATAAGGTGAAGTGCAAGGTCCTGCACCTGAATTGGAGCAATCTCAAGCACAGTTACAGGCTGGGTGGAGAATGGTTTGAGAGCAGCCCCAAGGAGAAAGACTTCAGAGTGTTGGCTGATGAGAAGCTCAGCATGAGCCAACTTCAGTGTGCTCTTGCAGCTCAGAAACCAACTGTCCTGGGCTGCATCAAAAGGAGCATGGCCAGCAGGTTGAGAGAGATGATTTGTCCCTTCTGCTCCGCTCTCATGAGCCCCCACCTGCAGTCCTGTGTCCAGCTCTGAAGGGCAACAACACAAGAGGGACATGTACCTGCTGAAGCAAGTCCAGAGGAGGCCATGGAGATGCTGTGGAGGCTGGAGCAGCTCTGCTCTGGAGACAGGCTGAGAGAGTTGGGGTTGTTCAGCCTGGAAAAGAGAAGGCTCAGGGGAGACCTTAGAGCAGCTTCCAGTGCCTAACGGGGCTGAGAAGAAAGCTGGAGAGGGACTGTTACTGTTTACAAGGGCAATTAGTGATAGGACAACGGGTGATGGCTTTAAACTGAAAGAAGGTAGATTTAGATTAGATATTAGGAAAAAATTCTTCCTTGTGAGGGTGCTGAGACACTGGCATAGGTTGCCCAGAGAAGCTGTGGCTGCCCCATCCCTGGCAGTGTTCAAGGCCAGGTTGGATGGGACTTGGAGCAACCAGGTCTAGTGGAAGGTGTCCCTGCCCATGGCAGGGGGTTGGAATTAGATGGTCTTTAAGGACCCTTCCAACCCAAACCAGTCTATGGTTCTTTGATTCTACAATTCTATTACTCTATGATTTTATGACAAGAACATATTATAGAACAATCACAGACCTCAAATACAGCTTTTCAACTTGGGGAGGTAATTTCAGGTGTTAGAAGAGCTAAGATTAAAACTGACAGAATAAAACAACAAGAGAAGGAGCATTCCATTAGAGAGACCTCTAAAAGGCAACGAGACTCAAGCAAAGTGAAATGCTCAAGTCCCAGGGTTTAAAATTGCTTTTAGTAGTAACCTGATAATCAGAAAGGGATATATTCTCCTTACTTCTTAAGACTTCCCTAGTTCCTCTCCCTGCCAAGTTGGATGGCAGCTGGAAAGTTACTAACCATATTTGATTTAAGAAAGTAAAAATGACCAGACAGATGTTTTTGCAATCTCTAATGTAGGGCTTGAAAAGAAATGGTTGTTGGAGGCTGGTTGTTACATGATCCTTGTGCATTTCATCCTGCCAGCCAGTGCACATGTTCTGGATCTCTAGTGCCTCCAATCCCACTGCAAAAGCAACTCCAAAATTTGCTGGACTCTGAATGCAGCTCAACAGACTAAGGCCATAAATCACTTGACATTCATGCTTTATTCTTACAATTTCAGAGAACAAAAGGAATCCTCTTGTTGAAGCCCCTTAGAAAACAAAGCACACTTTTCAAGACTGCATCCTTACGTGATTCACATACAGAAGTTCAAACTAATGGCAACAGTCCGCAGGCATTAAGGGAAATAACAGCAATCAATGCTATTTTTAAAGGGAAGAGTGGGGGCGAGGGGTTAACATATGTGGAATTAGCTCTGGGCAAAATGAGAAGCCATTGCATCTAAAATCAAATGCATTCTCTGAAACAGACACCAGAGACCAAATTCCCATGCAGACTCCTGCAGTCCAAGAGTTTCAGCAGAATCTGGCCTTCCTCTTAACTTAGCTTCATTAGATCATACCATGCCATCAGTTTTTATGTTGGACGCCCTACTTACTTCACATCAGTTGTTGGCACTATGTAGGCAATTTTCCGAATTGGAGGGGGAGAAAAGGATGGTGTGTGCACAAGGGAGAGGATTTTTTTCCCCATGTAGAATAAAAGCCATTTCTTAGAAGAGTTTGAGAGGGAAAGTGATATTTGTATCCCTTCTACCAGATGTCACCAATGGCAACAAGAGCCAGTATTAAATATCTATCCATCAAATTCTTCTTGAAATTTTTCAGCGTCAGCTGGTCAACAACCCATTCAGAAAACTGGGAAAGCTGCAATCTTCCACAGCCATTCCCAGCCAGTGGTTCTTCCCCTCACAAGAATTAATCTGAGTCTTTTTCATGGAGGGCAGACATGCACAATTTGTAAAAGGAGAAAAGACCTTATAGCAATAATTTTTCTTATGTTTACAGTAAGTGAAATAGCACCCCCTCCACACATACTATCTTTTGAAATAGTCTTTTGTTGCTTTTTCGTCAGCTGCTGTCAGTGTTGGATGCACTAAGGTCTCGTAGGTGTCCCATTTGCCACTTTTTCCCGCCCCACACTATGATATATTAGTAGCTGGCTTCAGTACTTGGCTAGGTTTGCCTTCCATCTTATTGGGAAATGCTTGGGGGAAAAAAAATGAATGCCCTGATACTCTCTCTCACATTAAGACAGTCTCTGTACTGTCACCTCTTACTGTGCCACCACCTCAAGCTGTGATGCCAATTGCACTGTCATCCCTTGCCATCTTCTACCCCTGGCCATGATGCTATCTTGTGCTGTCATCAATATGACTTGTCTTTCACTGTTCTGCTGCCTCAAGCCACAAGTGAGATCCAAGCTGACTGGCTACTTACCCAGAAAGGCTATGATGTTCTCAAAAGAAAACTGAGATGATCATATTGTTTCTGTGCTATTTAAAAAAGAAGTAACTAGCACAAAGGAATACTTGGAAACAGCGCTGGCCAAAAAATTAGAAAACATAATCATCTATCTAAAAGAAATCAGAAGGTAAGCAACAGAACTGCAGTGACACTCTTCACATATTGTTCCCTGCTGTGATGCTGCTATTGAAATTTTTCTCTCAAATCTAAAACCAAAGATCTTTCATGAAGGGCTCAGGGACTTTTGTCTCAGAGACAGCTGGGCAGATCACAACCCCTTTGCTTCACACATACGTGACTAAGCAGGATGTCAGAACCCTGCAGAATTGTAAGATTTTCTCTGGAAATGTACCAGACAAAATACTCTTCCCCAACCAACTGTTCCAGTGGATTCACATAATATAGTTTTACCTCCTGTAGCAACAAATTCACAGTGTAGTTTGGGGTTGGGGTTTTTTTCTAAACAACAACAGACAAGACATTTCGTGGGGGCAACACAACAATCTTCCCTAAATGGTTTGCTACACAAATAATACTTGACCAGGGTATTTTTAATATTTTTTTTGTTTAGTGCTCTAATGATGAAACTTTATCACATGTAGCGTATGCAGATAACAATTTACCACATTTAAACATTCATTAAAGGCATCTCTTCAGAAGTTGGTAGTGTTTCATTTCATCTGACTCCTGGGATCAAGCGTATCAGATAGTGGGACTTTTTTTCCTGCCCTACTTCATATGGAGAAGTTGGTATTTTCTGCTTAAATCAGAAGAAATTTAACATGACTCTGTCCTTTTTGCCTATCTGGCCACTTATCTTGTTTCGTTTGCAAATATCATATGTATTCTCTTGAGTTAAAAATAGTGCAAGATGATTAGTTAGGCAAGTTCATTTGACACCATTCCCCCTTCGTGACGCTGAAATCTAAAATCTGTATATGGTATACAACTTAAAGTATATATATGCAAGCTCAGCTCTGCTGGAGACACACAGCAAGTTCGTTCCTCCCAACTAGATTGCTTCCTTACCCAGCCGAGAAGACCACAAAGGTAAGCTGATTAGATCCTCTGCTTTCAGGAAAAGAAACACAAGAGTAAAATGCTCCCTGAATGGAAAGCACCTATGCAATTAAAATACCTGTTCTTGTATCAGCTTCCTCTATGTTGTACCTTTACAAGGTAACATAGAACAGAATCAGCATTCAGATCACAGGATGGAAAAAGACAGGAATGATGCCCCTTGTGAAAAATGCTGCATTTTTTAGGTTTTCCTTCAACTCATCCCCCTTTTTAATCCTGTCAGCAGTGAGAATTAGGTGAATGGCAGAGCTCCAGATTATCTTGACTAGTGCTGACAGGGGGAAGTACTTTGCACAAGAAGCTACTGGCACAAAATAATTGCTAGCAAACCAAAAGTAACTCTTCTGCCTTAGCTGAAGATGTACCCATTGCCATCAATGTGGATTTGTCCATTGTCTCCTTACACCTTGGGTGCTATTAAGAAAGGGACCAAAAGGATTGGTAAATTCCTCTGCTGCAAACCAACAGGTACAGAGGCAGCCATTTCATACTTTAGGTAAAGTTTAAACCTGTGCTTAGATCTCAAACCATCTTATAAACTATAAATGGTTACCAATATTGGTTTCCTTTTTGTGAACGCTGCTTTCCATGCTTAGACAGGAAGAATAATGTTGTTGAAGATCAATTAGGGATTCATGATAAAATATTTCTCTTTTCTTGTGGCTTTCAAGAATAACTTTCCTATGCCTCAGTTCCCCTTCCTTCATTAACATGAAGCTACTTTACAGTAATGTCACCAGTTGTAAATTGTAACCAGCCTGCAGTAGTGTGTGCAGTTTACCAGACTGTAAATGCATTGATGCTGTGTTCACTCTAATAAATGGACTAAAAAGTCAGGCCTCCAGCATTTTCCTAAGCAATAAATATTACAGTGGCAAACTATTGTCACTGTATTGGTGGCTGAATGGGAGAAAGAGTTATTTTTTATCAAATATTGCTGTGTCAGTGAACACCTCTTCCACTCTACTAGGAACAAATATTAAGTCTCAATACCTCTGTTCTAAATACATCAGTATACTGAAATGCCAAAATCTGGATAAAAATCTGGTTGATTACCACCTACATGCAATTAAAAAAGCCACCACAACATACTTAAGAAAGCTTTTTATTAAGCTATCTTCAAATGTAGTCTTTTAATGACGCAGCAGTCCAGCAAGCCAAATTTCTAGTATTGTTATATTTATTGTTGCAACTAAACAGAGGAGGAACTTACTCTCCAAATCTAGATTTCCTTGAAATTGGTAGAATTATTATTGCTTATTCTAAAATATTGTCATTCTTTGAGAAGATCGATACATTTATTGATAATAACATTAGGGTTTTTTTAGATTCCAAATACATTTATTCCAGATATAGTTCTAGGGGACATACTGAGCCTTATCTTTTTACGTATGCTGGTTTTAACCGAGTAATAGTCCACCTCCAGGAAAACCCACACAGAAGTCATGAAGTTTTGTGGTGCTAGACACCTTTAACTCACCCTCCCAGTGCAGCGCAGGCATCAGATCTTCCTGAAGCCCCACACTCCCACATGCAGAATTCCTCCCTCATTACCTAGCTTTAAGTGGAAGCACCTGCTGCAGACATCTGTTCCAGTACGCTCTGCTTACAATTAGATGAATAATGTCTCCCCTATCATATACTGTCATAGCAGCAACTTCAAATAGAGCCATGAAAGAGGTAGAGAAGTCATTTTAATGACCAAGTAGCTCACATTTAATTTATTTTACAGTTCAACAATGGCCATCACTGACATCCTTTCTGCTAAAGATATTGAATCCGCTCTCTCCAGCTGCCAGGGTAAGGAATGGTCTCTGCAGCCAGAAGATGCATATCATTTTTATGTCTTAAGATGACATGCCTATCATTTTCCCCTTAGATTCCTTCCCTGTGAGATCTCTTTCTACCTACATTACAGTACAGCCCCTTCAATTCAGAAAGTCTCACGAGTGGTTATTTGGTGGGTAACAACATGCCCCAAAACACAGAGCAGCAATTAAAGGGCCACAGGTTCAGTTAGAGCTGGCTTACCTCTGAACTCTGACAATTTTTAAACCTTTAAAGATTTATATTTATATAGCTAGCCTTTTCCTTCAGAATGTCAAAAAAGCCTCAGCTTGCAGAATGAAGTGACATTTGTGAAGCAATGACCAGTCTCATTTCCCTTTAAGAGTTCCTCGGTGAGATCGAGCCAGTTTTCCAAATGCTCAGAGCTAGTTTGACTGGGAATTACCTACTTTTCTACCAAATTCTTCACCAAAGTAAGGACTAAGTGAAATGAAGTAAGAATTAGAGGTCTGTCAGCCACCGTAGCACCCTCTAAATATTTATTATTAACTGCATGTGACACAATGCATAAACCCTGATTTAGTAGAATGTGCATTGTAGCAGAAAACTTCAAACTAGCTAAAAGGATATATGACCATGGGCACAGAGTGATTGGAAAGGGAAATTACCCACTGTGTCTTCTGTTTTGCTACACTGGCACACAAGAGCAAGAGGAGTAGGCTGATGCTTAAGAAGAGACATACATATTCTCAAGGAATATATACTGTAGTAGCAGCTTCAAGGGAAAATACCTAAACTTCTGTTTCTTCCAGCTGATGGTAGCTTCAACTACAAGTCTTTCTTCTCCATGATTGGTTTATCCAGCAAAACTCCTGATCAGATAAAGAAAGTTTTTGCAATCCTTGATCAGGACAACAATGGTTTCATTGAAGAAGAGGAGCTTCAGTAAGTACTGTACAGCTGCATATTTCTTCAACTAGTGTAAACCTTTGAATTTGCTAGCTGTCCTAGAAAAAACTTGCTGTTATTTTAAAAAGAAAACTCAATTCCTTGTCTTTCCTTGTCACAATTCCTTGTATTTCCTCAGATAATAAGAGCAGGCATTGCCTTATGAGTTTTTTGGCATGAGTTAAAAAACCCAGAAATACCCATGTACCAAGGACATGCTGGAGACTAATTCTCAAGCACAGCACTCTGCCCTGTTCTATTTCAGCATGTTTCTGAAGAATTTCTCTTCAAGTGCCAGGGCCCTCACCCCCACGGAGATCAAGGACTTCATGACTGCAGGTGACTCTGATGGTGATGGCAAAATTGGAATGGAAGGTAAGACTTTCAGAAATCCATAAAATTTGTGGCTTAAAACGCATTCATTTAGGGCTTCATTTAAATGGTGGCATGAAGAATACATCCAAGCACTTTGGCCTGGTACTTTCTGTCACAATTTTTATACTATTGAATACTCCTTTATTTTCATAGCTTTATCCCTGTTTGGTTTCTCTTGCAGCAACAGCATATTTAGGCCCAATGTAGAGCCTATCCCTCCAATCCATAATATCAGCTTTGGGTTTTATTCTGCCGTGTGTCTGATTCATAGACTCAGTGTGCCAGATTTTTAAAGCATCCTGAACACCTTTGAATTTCCATTTTGGCTCTGCACTTCTGGCCACATGACACTTCCATTTTTAAACACATTTCCACCTACATAAACTTCTTTCTTCATTTACCACTATCAACCATTGGCTTATGCTACAGAGTTGTTTAATTCAGGAATGTAAAAGTAAACTGGTATTGTTTTTCAAGGCTAGAACTGCTGCAATGCAGCACAGAATTTTGTGCTGGAGAATGATCTGATCAGTGCAAGTTTCACCAGGCAGTCCTTCTATGAAAAACTAAATCAAATTCCTAAAGAAAACCTCACAGAGATGATGTGAACTGCCCAGGCTATTTCTTTTAGAAATTGCTGCAAAGGAAAATAGGACATTATGCATTATATATTAGACATGAAGTCACTGAAAACAGGGCTGTCTCAGCTGAACTAGGACAGGTGGCAATAACTCTAACAGACACACGTGCTAATCTTAGCCAGAGTTTGGGAGGAGAGAGAGATACACTGTTAGAGGAATTTGCTTTAGCAGCAGCTTTTACAGCTTCTGTTTATCAGCCCTAAATAGGGCATTATATTATGCAGATCTTAGCCCTTAACCATTGCATCCCCCATTCTGAAATTACATCACTACAGATATTTTTCTTTGGAATAACAAAGGCAAAAAATCCCTCCTACTGAAAACTACAGGTTCAACCTAATTCACTCTTTGCTTCCTTGGCTATTATCAGAGTTTTTAATGGGTTAAAGACAGTTTACCTTTAACTCAGGATTTCCCACAAATACGGATTTACAGACTCACTCCTCCTCGCTGCAGTTACTCTTTTTACGGACTGAAAAATCTGTTACGCCCCCAGAATCTCAGTTTAGCAGTAGCTTGTGCAGTGTTATAATAACTTTGGGAGCCCTCCATGGCTAGGAGTTTAAGTCATTTTTATCTATCCTTTCTAAAGATGTTAAAAACCACTTTCATCTAGTTTTCCTCCCTGCCTTTCTCATTTTCTTCCTTGACAGAATTCCAGGCTATGGTGAAGGCATAAACAGCATCAGACCAAAGGCAACCTTGGACTGACTCTTCCAATTACCTCGTCCAACAAGCACTTCGCACTCAGCATGTGTTTGTACATTTTTATATTGTTTCAGGCATTAACAACCCCCCAGGTTCACACACCAGATTGCTGAGAAATCTTGCAGTGTACAGATGTTTGGGTCATGTGATATTGTTACATTTCCTTTGTAAAGAAAGCACTTTGTGATTTTCATCCACTCATAATGTTGAAATTGTGGCTGGAAAATGGGAAGGAAAAAAAATAAAACAAAACAAACAACTTGGGGGAGGGGAAAGCTGCTTTTAAAATTTTGTTTAGGTTTCCATCCTCATACTTGACTATGCTGACTCACCAGACACAGTTCTGACGATCTTAAACAATACGTCATCTTTTAAGGCTTAATTGTAGTGATTTCACTGAGTTTTATTTCTACTTATTTCTCTGATCCTTAAGGAAAAGTGATGCTAACAAGATAGCTAAAGCTAATGCATATTAAGACCCAACCCTGAGAATCTGAGAAAAAAATTAAGAGGAGCTGCCACATAGCTTGAAACATGGAATGTGTTTCTGGGTAATTTTACAAAAGTTAAGTACTAGACTACAGCATGTATCATCAGAAAGTGTTTATGGCCTAAAATGTCACTCTCCCTTAAGAAGATTTATCTTTCGTGAAATCTAAGGCAGCTGCTAGATAGAGGAGAAGGGTCTAATCCTAACTCTGGCACTGTCTTAAGTCACAGTCGCCTGACATGGGCCACAGGTCTGGAGGTTTTTCTGTGAATCATGAAGATGTTGCTTATTATCTCTTAGTATGTATGAAACAATAGTACTTTGCCACATTTGTGAATTTCTCTGTTTCCTGCAGATGAAACAACAGCCAGTCTTGCTGTTTGGATTATCTTAAAGCTCTGTTACATAGCTGAATAATGGCCATTACTCAATTCTTTCATTTATTATATGAATAATCACCTATACAATCCATAATATTAGCATTTTTCTTCAGTGTGAAAATTACTAAGAACTAGTCTTTCCTTTGATAAGTGTCTTACAGGATTTAGAGCCAGTTATAACATTGTCTTCATTAACGGACAAAGTAAATAATGTTCATGTTTAAATGCAGAGCTCAATAGATTAAGTAGATGTTGTGTGTTTCTGGCTGAGTGGGTTGGAAATTTCCCCACCAACATTTAGTTGTCTCTTTTCCCATCTATCATGGTATGGTTCCAGCTCACAAGTAGACTGTCATTTTAATGCTCCCTGCTGAAACTGGATGATAATTGTAACATAATTTGGCAGCTGTTTTGAAGGAGAGCAGAAACAAAGCCTTCTGGAACTTTTATGTAACATTCAGTGTTGGCATTTCCATGAATTGCAAGATGATTATGTGAGGCAAGTACAGCTCACTCAGACCCAGGCAGGAAGGGAGCTGTTCAGCAGATTTAAGACAGCTAATGCAAAAGAGGAATTCTAGCTATCAGACTCACTGAAGCCTTGGCTGAATTAAAATGAATATAAATCCTAATTCTGTCCTCACTACCTTTGATGTTAAATCTAGGCTTAAATTATAGCTGCTGTTAATTGCAGCACTGAAATATTTTGCATAATGATGAGACTGTTGATTCCTTTTACCTTATTCATTTTCATATCTGCTGAAGAAAAAAACCCAGAGCAATCCAGATCTGCAGCAACAGATAGATGTAATGTATACATCAACTCTTCACACTGCTAATCACTAAAATACCATGTCACTAGTTCACAAGCAGATGGCACACACAGTACCATAAGTGACAGACCTGATGCTGCATTCCTTGCACATCTGAAAGTCTTATGTGGAATGCAAGAAATGCAAGACTACATAGTGGCCTATCCTGTATTTCAGAGATGCTAAACAACTGCACATCAGTGTCTTCTGTTGCCACGAGGGGAAATTGAGTACTTCTGAGAATCTGGCAATTCTTGTGTATGTTAAAACTTTATGTAAAACTTTATGTAAAACTTAAAAGAGAATTTTATTCATGAGAAAATTTGTTCTTCTTAAACAGTAACTCATGGCAAGAAGATGAGTTTTAAATCTTACTAAAACCACCCACCCATTTCATTAGAAGGAATTACAGTAAAACTCCAAAAAGTCCCCAAGTTCAAAAAAGCCCATAGACTGTTTAGTAAAAACAACGCCTAGTCCCTGTTAAGTCTTCTGTTGACACTAGAATCCACATCTGTAGAGCTAAACAAACTAAAAGAGTTTTCCACCTAAAAAAAACCAAACTCCAAAAATGTAAAGTTTTCTTCTAAGGTTCATTTCAGAAAGTTTAAATTCAGCTAGTGGCAGCCTTCAATTTTCTTAGGGAATAGCACGGAGTGTTCTCACTTGAACTTGACCAATGTCTTTGCACTAGAGAAAACCTCTGACTGCAGGATGCCACTTGAAGTAGTAAATTCACAAATGGTGATATCACAGTATTACCACATCAGTGTATAGAACCACAGAATAATTCATGTTGGAAAGGATCTCTGGAGGTATCTGGTCCAATCGCTTCCTCAGAAGGCCAATTTAGGACACATTCCTCTAAGATGAGTTTGAGTATCTTCGAGGATGGAGGTTCTATAACCTCTCTGGGGAATCTAATAAGTAAGGATTAAATCCTCTGCACCAAGCTTTTATGAATGAAGTACACAAATAAGACACCACTAAGCACACAGTTAAAAACCAAATTGTGTCAGAAAGTATCTAACAACATCCTGTATTATCCACTGATAACCTGTTCTCAGGTTTAGAGTTAAGACTGTACTAATCAGTATAATATTCAGTATAATACTGCTTCATAATCCCTAGGATAAAGGAAATATTGTTTATATGTATTACCTTTACTTATGACAATTAAAGAGCAACGCAAAATGTGAGCAGAAGATCTGGGTTCCATTAAGCCCAGAGACTGCGAGTTCTCAGACACACCTAAGTCCCCTCATTACCCTGTATGAGCAGTTCAATCTCTAATCCTCCCAATACTTCTTGTGGAATAAAGATGTACTATGATGTCTTCAAGTGGCAACTAAACACAAAGAAATTGCTTGTCCTATACAAGCTCTTAGAAAAAAGACATCAAGGGCCTGGGTGTTGAACCAAATATCCCAAACCTTGGTGCTCTAGCCACTGAATCCATCATCTCTCTTAAACCAAAATTTTGGGTTATGCTGATAAAGCAGCAGAGTCAAGCATAAGATAAAATCTCCTGGTATTTAGTGGAAGCTGGCTGTCTCCTAACATCATGTTCCTTTGGAAATCCTAACCTAGTGCCATTCGTAAACTTCAGATTCAATTTCAGCTCTCCAACTGTTTGGAGTCTCACAGTCATCTTCTAACAAGTAAGAGAGAACAAGAAGGGCAAGGGGATGTCAGAACATTCATGGCATACATAGACTGGTAAAGTTTCTTCTTTGAGTTAGCAGCCAGCCCATGTGGAAAATCTTTGATGCAGCATCATCAGAGGTGCTTGGAGCTCTTCACAAAAACACTGCAGGCAGAGGGAGCCAAGGCTGGATTAATTTCCTGGAATGGGTTACTGAAATAGATACATCTTGATTAAATCCCTGACCAAACATGTACCTAACATTTTCAAGCTTAATTGTTCATATATTTTAAAATATATTAATAAGCAGATGCTGTGAAATATGAACTAATTTAAAGTGTTGACATTTTACGAAACTTGATTTCCATACTACTTTTGTGTTCAAGCACAGAAAGATACCATTATATTTGTATGGATCTTCTGCTACACTCTCTGTACCACAGGCCTACAGAGCACACTATCTAACAGTTGGGATACAGCTGCTCCCTAACTCTTGATTTGCTTTTCAGCATGTTTTACACTCATGTATACAAGAAAATCAGGGGTTTTGTGTGTCAAGGTCCAGAAAAGAAAATCAGATCACCACATGGGTTACAATATGAAAAGAAGGTGCCCCTTGACAATGCCTTCCCCTGCAGTTACTAAGATATCATTGACCTGGAGTTCAAAGGGAAACTTATGTCACAGTAGAATATGCAACTACTTGACTCAAATGTAATCCCATCAGTTTCATCACAACTGAATATTAATCACCTGGTACTGATTAATATTTACTGATCTACTAAAACTAGATACTTTCTGGTTTAACAAACAAGCTTCCAGAAGACACTGATCATATATTTGCAAAGATCTCCCCAACAGACTCTAATATTTAGCCAGCATAAAAATAAACACAGTACAACCTGGTTTTGTTAGACAGACAAAATAACCTGTTCTTCCTAACCATCATTAAAGGAAAAGTCATCTGGAATTCTTTCAGTTTTCCATTTAGCCTGTTTCTATTCCAGCCTTTCGAGTAATATGGTAGACTAGACTTCTTTTATTCTCTTGTTCCTCCTTCTTCTCTTCCTTGCTATGAACACCCACATTCTAACCTGTTCTCACCCTCAATTCCTAGGTTTTCTCTCACCCCAAGTAGTCCCGGAGAGATTTCGCAGCTGGACTTGACTGTCTTTGGTGCCCTCTACAGGCAAGCTCTGCTTTGCTACAGAAATACTCAAAAACTTTCTCGATGAATCCTTTGTAATCGCAATGTGGTCTTCTCACAAAGATTATTTCTTGAATGTAGATTAATTCTGCCACAATCATCAGATCCTCTCTGATCCCAAGCCATGCTGTCCATTATTTCCTAGGAATCTGAAGCAAAGACAAAGCTAGATTCCCAAATGGAAAGACTGGATCGTTTAGCTTACATATCCACAAGGATAAAATAAAATACTTTAAAAGTGACTTGCTCAGTTGGTCTTATATATATAGGCCAAAAAACTTTGCTTTCGGAATGTTCCATTTTTCACCCAGCATAGGTTTAGAATAATACTGTTAGTATGTCTCCTGAAGCATTCTTCTCTTGAAGAAATAATCAAAGGAAACTAAGATGTGCAAGATGAGGTTTTATCTGCATTTTCATCTATACTGTTTTAGAAGGAAAAGACAACAGCCTAATGTCAGATTGACCAAGTGTTAGGCTTTATTTTAAATGCAATGGCATTACTCAAATATTTAAATCTACAATGATTCTCTATGCACGTTTATGTGTGTCCATGTGAAATGTTCTCCCAATGGCTTTTTACATCACTGGACAATTTCAGCCA